TTATTTCCAAATAAAATAGTTTTTGATTATTAATATTAGTTTAGTTTTTTTTTTCTCCTATATGACATTATCTGAAAATAAAAAACAACTTATCTTCTTACAATTGATATCAATACAACTTATTCTCTTACAATTATGGTAAATAACTACTCTCCTTACACTTGACAATTTGAGAGACTTACACTTGGTTGTCATTTCAAATAGACTTCTTTACTTCTATATATTACTAGTGTTAGCACCCGCGCATTGCGCAGAGCAATATTTAAAGATGAAATAATCTTTTATAACATCATTTAAAAATAATAAAATTATATAATAAAATGATTGAAATGCATTATAAATACACGAACTCTTTAAATACTCGATTAGAAATTAAGTACCCGATCCCATTTTGAAATTCACTTGTAATAGCCAAACCCGTCCTGAACCTAATTATAATTACCTGTTTCAATACCCGAACCCGTTTAAATACCCGTTTACATTAAAAAATTTTTTTTATTTTTCAAAAATAAAATAAGTAAAAAAATTATAAAACTATTATTTTGATTTAATAAAAAATTATAATATAAGTATTTAATATAATTATAGGATTAATTATAATTAAAAAGGTGTATATATAAAAAATATTTTCTTTAGAAAAATAATTATTTTTTAAATATTTTTGAAATATTCATTAAACAGGTAACGGGTGTCTGAGTTCTTGAACCCGATCTGAATCCGATACTGGTAGTAAAAACACTATCCGAACCCGTTCCAAACCTGTTTATTCAACATCAAAATCTGCCAACATCAGATCGAATCTAATCGGGTACCCGCCGGATCAGATAAAATTGTCATTCTTAACTAAGATATGCTTCCTTAAGTATCCTGCGAAGTCTTTCACTAACAATAATAAAAATCATGTATGGTATGACCTATATCAAAAAATGCGCATACATTATTAATGTACTTTAATGGTGATAATAATTTTGAGAATTCAACTAATTATATTGAAATAAATTTTTTTTTTTATTTTTATGATTGTTATAAATGATTGTCTATTTATTTGAAATATTAATGTATTGCTTATTTAGTATAGTGTATTCTAAACATGTGAATGTCTTACTTTTTAAAAATTATGGTATCCGTATATTCCAATTTATATTTTTAAATTATTTATATATTATTTATTTAATAGTAATATATTATTTATTCACACTTTTAAGCGTGTAGATTGCTTATTAATTGTTTTGTAATAAGAAATAAATGTAATAAGAAATAAATTTATATTAATTCACCATAATGTGTAATAAGAAATAAATTTATATTAATATAATAATGCTAAATATAATCTTTTTTATAGATATTATTTTGATAAAGATATTATTTAAAAACATAAAACAACTTATTTTCTTACAATTGTGTCTTATCTTCATACAATTGTGCTAACTGTCATTACACATGGCAATTTCAGATACTTATACTTAGCTGTCATCTAGGATATACTTCTCTACTTTTATATATTATTTAGATGATTGATATTAAAGTAATTCTAATTTGGACCAAACTATGTTTCATTGGTCTTCTAATCTATAACATACATAAATGTGTGAATGATGCGGAAACGAAGTGATTTTCTAAAATGTGTTTAGCGAAATTTTATATATCCGATAATATTTTTGGGCATGGCAATTAAAATAATAAATCAATTTTAAAGTATTAAATAATATTTAATTAATTGTAATGTTTAATATTCGATTTATATTAAACAATCAAAATTATTATGTCAAGCTTTTTAATTAATATGAATTATCTAAAAATTTCAAATTGGTAGGATTATCTATTTTAATTAATTAAATAAATTAATATGATACATTTAAAAAATTAACAACTATGACTAATAAAATAACAAATATCCTAGAGATTTTAGAAATCAATACCAATATTAATATCAGGATTGATATTATTAATATTGAAGAAGAAATCTAATCATATACTCGGTGTTATCTATACTCACTATACATAAATGTTCAAATGAAAGAGAATATCCTAAAATATCCTTAGTGAAATTTAAAGTATTCTAAAATATCCTTATACATGAGTAAAGATGGAAGTGTGATGAATATTTTAAAATACTTGTTCTGATATGGAGATATGAATATTTATAAATGAATTTGGGACGAGTATTACACACAAATATAATGGTATAAGTCCCATTACCCACTATATTAAATGGTATGGTCATAGGTACTTATAGGTTCCCTAACCATTATGAGTAAAAATATATTTTAAATAGTTCAAATTTAGATGGTTTGAAATTTGTAGATACTGTATCTCTTTAAGGGATACTTTAAACAGGTTTAGGAAGAAAATATGAACAAATTGTAAAATTTTAAATGGATTCAAATATGAGTATTTAATTATCATTTAAACGGGCTTAGAACATGTATGAATTATAAAATTCTAAATAGATATGGGTATGAGTAGCTCCAAATTCGTGGACGTGCGCTGGCTTTCATCTACCAATTAAATGGAAAAAGAATTAAAAATTTGTATTTCAAAAAAAAAAAAGAGATATACATAAATAATATTTGATTGTAATTTAAAAGTTTTTGAATGGCCAATTAAAAAATTTTGAATTTAAAAATATATATTATGGTTGATACAACATCTATCTCTGTATATATATAATCCTGAAGAGAAAAATAGTTTAAAAATGCTGACTTAGCGTTCTACTTTTTCAGCAATCTCTTTTTCATTTTTTAAAAAAAATTTTGAGCTTTTTTCTATTTTTCTTTGCATAATTATTTTTTAAAATTAAAATTTTATTATATGTTATCTATATTAAATTATTTAAATTATAAAGCTTATCTTCATCTTTACTTCCTATAACCTAATCATATCTCTTATAATATCTAATTTCTAATTAATCAATATTTAAGAGATTCTTTATAAAAAATTTAAAAACTTACCCCATTTAATCAATATTTAAGAGATTCTTTATAAAAAATTTAAAAACTTACCCCATTTTCTCTCTTTATTTATCATCGATTCTTCACTTGAATGTTTTTTTATTGCTTCTTTCAATTATTTTACTTGAGTTCTAATAAATACAACTATTTATGGTATGTATATTGATACTCGGCTTGCAATTTTTCAGGTTGATAGAGTATTGCTTCCTCTTGATGTGTTTACTCCTAAACCTCCTACTTCGGCACCGGCGTTGACACCAGAAAACCACCCCAAAAAGGCGGCTCCTGCTGTGGAGAATCCTAATTTTAATAACCCTTAGGGTATTTCTAGGTGAGTAAATTTTTTATTTTTGGATAATAATTATTTGGCATCGTCAAGTTATGGCAGTTAGTATAATTTCTGTAATGCTTTATTTTTTAGACCATATGAGACTGTATTTTCTTTTATCTTCTACTAAAAACTAACTTTATACAATTTTCATAACAATTTTATTTACAATATCATGATTTAAAATCTGAAATTGTCACCATCAAAGGAAAATCTGAAATTGTCGCCATCAAAGGATTTTACCTAGATATTACTTTGGTCTAAGCAGAGAGTTTAAGGATAACAAATTATCGTTTGGAGTAAGCAATTTTTCTATTGCAAATCATGGCAACAAGATCTCGATTTCTAGCTTTTTTTTTTTTTTTTTTTTTTTTTTTTTGCAGTTTTTTTTTTTTTTTTTTTTGCAGTTTAATATATTTTTTAATGTGTTTCAATATGTATCTTTTAAATATGCAATATTATTTTAAACAGAGATCAAATTTTATTTATAGATTAATAGATATACAATCAATATATATAATATTTATCTTATTAGTTGGTAGAATTATTATTGAAATTGTGATGAATTTTATAAAGCAAACATCTTTTTCCGAGAAAGTGTCAAGTGGAATTGTTAAAATTTGGTAGTGTAATTTAGGATCCTAAAATGCTTTAAAAATTTATAATCATGGTATATTAATTGTTTTGTTTTAATTTTCTTTTTTTTTTTTTTTTTTGTTCATTTTTTTACTTATAAACACATTCACTGTAACTATGTTTTATGTATCCAGTAAATGTATCTGGTAGTGTCATGTAGGATTAGAAAATTTTAAATTAACCCATATTGGATTCTAAAATGCTTTAAAAATTTATAATTATGGTATATTAATTGTTTTGTTTTAACTTTCTATTGATTGAAATTCATTGGTGAATAAATGAATGTCAAGACATAGTCTATAATATAGTAAGAAATAATAATCATTTTACTAAATTAATAACTAACACAATATAAATTTCTACACTAAATGAAATAGCCATTTCAAAAGTATGAATTTTTACTTGACTATATAAATAGATAATTAATAGAATATTTTATTTTGTAACATTATTATCATATATTTTTGAAAATGTTTTAATATCACAATTACAATTTATGAACAAGTCGAAAAATCGTCGCTTTACACGTGTATATTTAATTATTATTTTATTCATTATTGTAGTTGGATATATTATTATTTTTTTATAACCTATAATCAAAATGCTACTTGAAATAATTAATAATGACAAATATTAAAACAATTTATAATAAAGAAAACTATGACAATATTTGAAATATTTTAATATTATAAATCGTTAACATTGTAATCGATCTTCATTATCAAAATAGTCTCATAGTGGAGGAACCAACTGCTTGTTGAAACTCAGCAAATGACCACGGTTGAAGTGAAATTTGGAACCATTATGTAAGATATTTAGGTATTTGGATTGCATTTAAATAATAGCGTAGGAGCTTGGAACAGAATTTTATAGAGAAAATCATTAAATGTGAGAGCTAGCTAACTTGGTTATAGATACTTTTTTTTTTTAATCGAAAGTTAATTCATATTTTACATTAATTTTGCAGAGAAGAAATAAAATAATAGTACAAAGTATAAATTTCTATTTCTATTTCTAATTCATATATAAATTTCTACTTCAATATTATAAATTAAATTATTGAAATATATAAATAAATTTAAGAATAAGCAATTCAAATATATCGATAAATGAAGGAATAAATTGTAATAGATGGAGAATGTAGATAGATATGTAGTTACACTTACAGTTAGAGCCTAACACTAAAAAAATGAAGTAATAATTATTTAGTTATTGTCTATTAATATTAAAAAATTTTCAAATAAATAAATCTATATATATATATACAGATAATTCAAAAATAACTTTAATTAGATGTACAAAGTAGATGGATGTGCAAGGCATATGCCTCCATAGATGTGCAAATTGACTCCATCATATCCCTAAACTGCAAAAAAAGAAAGGGAAAAAGTTCAGCCATAGTGGAAATAACGACATAAAGTGAGCAAATGCAGTAATTCTATATAGGAATAGAGCTCATTGATACCCACTGCGAATTCAACAATCAAAATAACAAATAAAAAAATAGAAATAGCTGTACTAGGACCATAAAAAAATATGACTGGCAAATAGAAAACTAGTTTGAAATATAAATAACCAGTTCCCTCTTTTTTATGCCAGATTCAATGGGTACGCTACGCAGCAAATTCAAGAGAAAGAAAGCAAATAAATACAATTAATATTCTAAATTATTGCCAAGGCCAGCTGCAGAACAAATATATAGAACCATAAGATACTGAATTAAACTCAAAACAGAACAATACCTCCTGTGACTGCACAACAATTATTCCAACTTTACACCTTGAGAACTTGTAGAGCAGCTCAGTAGCTTTTTCACAAGCCAAAACCTAGAATATACGTAAATATTTAATATAAATAATAAATTTAGAAAAAATATAAAGAAATAGATACAGCTCCATAGAAACCATAAGATACTGAATTAAAACTCAAACAGAACAATAACCTCCTTGTGACTGCAACAAACAATTATTCCAACTTTACACCTTGTAGAACTTTGTAGAGCAGCCTCAGTAAAGCTTTTCACAAGCCAGATCATTGTTTACTACCAACTCCACGTGTTATGCATCTGCAGAAAAACCCTTGCCAACCATTTCACAATTAAGTTGTTTTGCCATGGACAAATCGTTGTGTTTTGGAGATATCCTTGGATAATCACATTATAAGAGCTAAGAGCAATCATCTGGTGAGCAACCATTCCCTTCCATTTTCCTGAACACCTTTAATGCTTCATCTAATAATCCTTCTTTACAAAGTCCTTTGACCATTATGTGCAAACATCAGGATGCAACCCTTCTATGGAAAGTCTAGAAAACAATTCCTTTGCATCTTTAACCTTTCCAGCTCTGAATATACCATCAATTAGGGTATTATAAACAATAAGGTGAGGCTTCAACAAGTTCTTTTGCATTTCATGAAATAGATCCAATGCCATATCAAGACAGCTATGCTTACAAAAGCCATCTATCAAAACTGAGTACACCACCACGCTGGGAGAATAGCCACTAGCACACAAGTCCTTGAAAAACTTATGTGCAGCCCAAGGGCCCTTTGCTTTACACAAGCCACGTATAAGAGAACTATAAGCAAAATCGTCAGGCATCAAGCCTTTGCAAGGCATTTCATCAAGAAGCCACTTTGCAAGGCATTTCATCAAGAAGCCACATTGCCTCATCTATCCTTTTTCTCTTACAGTAACAATGAATCAAGATGCTGTAGGTAACAACAGTAGGTGTACAGCCCTTGCTTACCATCAGGTTAAAAATTCCTCTAGCTTGATGCACTTGGTTGTGTAGACAATATTCGTCCATCAATGAATTGTAGGTGATAACATTAGGCTCTATTCCACTCTGCATCATCAATTTGACTACGCCATGAGCCTTTGAAACCTTTCCTTCCTTACAAAGTCCATCAACCAAAGTATTGAAGGTAATTAAATCTGGTGTAACGTTTGCTCTCAAAGTATTGAAGGTAATTAAATCTGGTGTAACGTTTGCTCTCAACATTTGGTTAAGCAACATAAAAGCTTCCTTCCATCTGCTTGACATACACAAACCACGGATTAAGGTGCTGTAGGTCACAAAATCAGGTAAGATACCTTCACTCTTTATTTTGAAGAAGAGGTCTAATGCCTCACTAACCAATGTGTCCTTGCAGAGGCTGTCAATGATAGCACTGTATGAGACCACATCAGGTAGGCACCCTTCCTCGACCATTCTTTTCAGAACACCAAAGGCCACAAGGGTTTTCCCAATTTTACACAGACCATTCACAATTACAGTATAGGTATAAACATCAGGTTGATACCCTTTTTCAACAATATCATCAAACAAATCCACAGCTTCACCAAATTTATCCTCCCTACAAAGCCCGTGGATTAAGGTAGTAAGCGTTATAATGTCAGGCTTAAAACCAAGTTTGAAGATTTTACCGATAAGAGAGTACCCAAAATCCACATGGTCTAGATGGCAGAAGCAATTAATCAAAAAATTAATCAAAATACCTTAAGAATAAAATCATGTGAAATTCCAAACATTTTCCATCTGTTTTAGAGAGAGAAATGACAGAGCTAATGTTTTCATTCGAAACAAGTTGCAGAGAACAAATTTACCTAAATTCCTTTAATAGGGAAGGAGGGGGGGGGGGGGGGGTGGATCACTATGAAGCATCAAAATTAAAGGAAGCTAAACCCAATCATCAATGTTGTGGAATTGAAATCAGATTTGCTTTTACCTCTCAAATGAGTACTGCTTTTAGAACTACAAAAAGAAACGGAACCACAAAATACCCATGCCGACGAAGCCGAAAACAGTAAGGCATCTCGCTGCTAGTTAGAACATCATCGATTATTGCCTATGCACAAAAGCGAAACAGAAGCCAGTTTATCTTCCACGAAGCCGAAAAACAGTAAGGCATCTCCCGCTGCTAGTAGACATCATCGATTATCTGCCTATGCACAAAGCGAAACAGAAGCAGTTTATCTTCCTCTGCGTAAACAAGTTTTGGAAGGAAATAGTTTTTGCTGTCGTTTAGTCTAATTTGATTACCTAATTGTTTCGATTGGATCGGGTCACCCACCATGAAACCAGACCCAAAATATGATTTTGAGACGGATTGTGCACGTAATATACGCAAAAGGCATTTTGAATATTTTAATCCACCGCAATAAAAATTGTGTCATGCCCAATTGCCCCAATATATTTTTTGTGTTTTGTATACCATTAACTTTTACAAATATTGATATTCTTTACAAAATATTTAGAAATATTGCAAAATATTAAAAATCAGACATATAATTTTGGAAAACACCAACTTTTATTAAAAACAACCATCTTTTACAAAATATTTACAACTGAAGCTATTCTTATATAATCCGGCTATTTTACATAAACAACTATTATTTTACAAATTATTAATTATTAAAATATTGACAATCAAAACTACTATTTTATAATTGAGCAACTTTACAAAAATACCTATTTTTTAGAATTTTGAGAAAATATAACAAAATATTGGCAATTAAGTTAGTATTTTTCAATTGAGCAACTTTAAAAAAATAATAAAAAAAAACAACTCCTTACAAGAAATTAAAAGTTATTATAAAATAAAATAAAATATTAATAACCGTAACTATTATTTTATAGGTTTTTAACGCCACTTTACATGACGTCATTGTAGAAAAGTCCCACGTGAAAAACTTATGAAGAATTCATTGGTTCAAATAATTTGTTAAAGCATATCACTCAAAAATTTGAAACTCAAATCAGTCGGTCTCTCTTTAATAGAAAATTACAAATTAGTTAACTGAATATGCCCATTGGGGATAAATTAATAGTTAAATTATATTCTATCTGCCATTTATTTATTTATTTATTAAATTTTGATAATATCAAAATTTTTTAAATAACTCATCTCTAATTAATCTATTTATACTGTATATATAAATGTAGAAATGAGAGAGACTAATGATATTATCCTCAGTAAAATTTAAAATATTTTAAAATAACTTTAATTATGGTCAATCTTATCGACTAAATAATATATATAATTTTTCTAAACTATTTTTTTAAATAGGTACATATAGTTAACTAACCCTTTAAAATTGAATGAAGCAATGTTAGTTTGTTGTTGGACACTTCAGTTAAATTCAAGAAAAAAGCAGAGATACAACAAACTCATATGTAGTATAATTTATCAGGTAATTATATGTAGAATTTATCATCAAAACTATCCAATTTTTTATAAGTCTTTCGGATTCGATTTGATCTGAACCATACAATTCTTGATTTCCTCTTAGTTTTAATGGATTTGAGTTTAGAAATCCAACTCAACACTACTTGTCGTTTTAGTTGTATTTCCGGCTTACTACGTAAGTCAAAAACACCCGATTAAAAATTTTTTTAGAGTTTAAATACCTAATTGTAAATATTTTCCATTGAGACACTAAATAGAAATTTTTTGAAAGTTGAGACACTAAAATTATAATTAACCCTATTTTAAAAAACAAAATAGCATGAAGATTACTGTTATATTATTTTGAAGTAAGATGGATTAAAGTGCATATGGAGGCAAATATAACCTCCAAGTATATTAGAACAAAAAAAATATTATATAGAACAAAAAAAATATATATATTATATATATATAATCCATATATTAATATATATATAATATACTATATATATATATATATATTATATATCCATATTTAATATCCATATTTATACTATATATAAATCTATGAATGGTGAGGGGAGGAAATAATGGAATTTCCGATGACGCTTCGATGAAATTTACATATCTTAAAGTAACCTTAGTAATTACCGATTAGAAAATTATATTTCATTAGTTGATTGGATAATCATTTTCTCATTCTCATTTAAACTCAAGGATTAATCTAGTCCTTTTTTGAAATTAGAAAAACAATTTACAACTGAGAATCAATCGGTATAGATTATTATAAAATTTAAATATCTAGAGATAATGCAATAATTAAAATTTTAAAGTATTAAAGACTATAGAATAGAAAAAAAATATATTAATTTACAATAGATTTTTAATATTTCATGATATCTATCTATAATTTAATCTTATAATTTATAATTCTAACTTTATCTATAATAACAACAACAAACAATTAATAATAATAATAATAATAATAATAATAATAATAATAATAATAATAATCTATCTATACTATCTATCTACACTATATATAAATGTGGGAAAGGGGGGAATAATGAAATTTTCCATACTAGCCTTAGTTTAATTAAAATTTCGAATATATCATTTTAGTTAGATTTTTAATGCATTTTAATTGGAGAAAATATGTTTATTTATCCTTTTTAAATAACCTTTTAAGTTGAGAAAATAGATTCCCTTTTTTCTTTTAAATATCCTTTTATTTATATTTTTTATGCTTTTTAATTTGATAAAATATATACATTTATATTCTCTATTTGATCTTGCAATATTATTGTCCAATAATTTTTATAATTAATAGATTTTGATGTTCTTAATTTTGATATTCTCATATGATGTATTGCTTTCCAGGAGGTAAATTAAAAACATTAATTTAAGTATTGAAAATGAAACTTAAATTCTTTTAATTTATTATGTTTTGAGTTTTTTAAAATATGGTTAAATAATTTACTATTAAAGTCTATTAGTTAAATACAATGAAATTAAAATAAATTTTTTAATTTTTCTCTTTAATTTAGACTTATTTGGATTATTTACACACTATTGTATTTTAAAATTTTTTATTAAAATTTTATTATAATTCTTAATTTAACAAAAAGAATAGAATTATGGAAGATAGTATTTTTACTAATATATCAAATAAGAGTGTTTTTCTCTTTTAGTACTAATGAATATTTTTGAAAAAAAATAGGCCTATAAAGTTGAATTAAATGAAAAAGTTGGTTTATTTAGGCATGTTTGCTAGCATTTCCATTCTTCATCTTTTAAATTAAGAAAAATAAAGAGAAAGTTTCAAGAGCTTCGTCTTCTTATCTCAATAGTGTTATTCTAACTTTTTTCAAAAAAATTTTATCCGAATTTTCATTTAATTTTTTATTTTTTATGATTTAATTAGATGTACTTTTTTTAAAGCAATTTTGAAATTGAGATAAAGATAATTAGACCTTTGAGATTTTAATTTTTTTCAAATATTTTAATAAATATGTAGGACTTTGAAAATTTTGAATTTAGTCTCATTTATATTTATTTATAAACTTGAGAAACGATCTTCCATTACCAATATTATTATTTGCACATTGATCCCTATATGGAACTTTAAGCAATTTAATTTTAGATTTTGCAAAACACATGGAGCCCAAAATATTACATACTATTGATAAAATTTCAGACTTAACTTCATCTTATTAGAATAATTGATGTCAATATCAAATTTATATTTTATATAGAGCAAGTATTGATTTACTAGATTAATGTCATAGTATCGTCAAATTATAAAATATTTTGCAATATGGTAAATGCAAATTTTTAGTTATTTATATAATTAATTAATTAAATATAACATTATATTTTTTTTGTATAAAACAGAGAAGCAAAAATATTGTTTTATTTTCAATTAGATTTTATATTGTAAGACATGTTAAAAAAATATTTATTTATATTTATTTTAATCTAAATAAGTTATATTTATTTTAATCTAAATAAGAATTTTTACTTCGATATAATATAAATAAAAAAATTAATTGAATATATAACGAGTAAAATCAACGTGCAATGCACGTCATAAAAAAACTAGTAGCATTTAAAGTAGTAAATTCATTGTTAATAATCTAATGTTTAATGTTTATGTGCATATAATATAAAAATGACCAAATACATAGATTGCTCTCTAAACTTTTATAAATCAACCATACGGCACCCCCAACTTTGTCGGAAACCAATTATGCGCTTGAAGTAAAAAATTTCGCACTAAGTAAACACCTTCCCACACCTTTTGACATTAGCAACTGCGCGTGTATTACAAATAAGCTGAGTAGGATAAGTAAATAAAAATGAGACCCAATTTTATTTACACATCAACAATTTTAAAAATAAAAAAATAACCTCACCAATCCCCATCCAAAAGCCTGCCTCTCTCTCTCTCTTCCTCTATGTATGAAACAACGATCACTTTAAGCAAAAATGGAGCATTTCCGTTTATAATATGAAATATAAAGAAATGACAATGATATTTGATAACCCTACCTCTTTTTGAGAGGGCAGGCCATGTGTGAGGACGGCTTGTCGGGGGTTTCGGTGATGTCACTGACCAATTTTCACTTATTTGATTATTTGAAGGTGCGATTACTTGTGGGTACTGATGTTGTGCCATATGCTTGACTGGTTGTGTTCATTTTAGTATTTTAGGAAGCATTTCGTGTGAATGCCTATGTTATGCATTAATCATTATTCATTATAAAACTCACTCTTCTTTTATTCAATTTTTCTAGGAAGTAGATTCCTTGCTGTTTCGACTAAAGTTATGTTTCCTCTACCGCAAAGCTAGAAAAGTAACTTTTAGAGTCAGCAGATATTTAAATTATGTAGCTATATGTACGGAAACTTATTTATATCTATCTGTTAGTGAACTCCGCAGTTGTAGGATTATAACCGATAAACTTATATAGATGTTTAGTTATTCATTTATGTGAATGCATGAACCATTAGCCCATGTTATGGATGTTTTGTATTATAATTAGGCCCAAGCTATGAAATATTTAAGATGTTATATTTGGGTTAGAGTATAATATAATTATGAGACTAATCATTATGA